TGCACTTAAGAAAAAAAAAATTCTCTTGAGAAGTGAACAAAATAGAAACAAGTCTGATAACATACATGATTCCAGCACTGCTGAAGTAAGAGGGGGTGAAGAAAAGAGGAGAGACTGAGAGTGGTTACTTTCCCTCTTTACTTTCATTTTTCGGTGTAGTAAGAGCCACAATGAGAAAAGCAAGAGGGTATAAGTGATTGTTTTTTTTTTTTTAAAGTTTATTTATTTATTTTGAGAGAGAGAGCAGGGAGGGGCAGAGAGAGAGAGAGAGAGGGAGAGGGAGAGAGAATCCCAAGCAGTCTCCACGCTGTCAGTGCAGAACCCCATGTGGGATGCGAACTCACGAACGGTGAGATCATGACCTGAGCCTAAACAAAGAATCAGATGCTTAACCAACTGAGTCACCCAGGCACCGCCCGTGATGGGGTTTTATAGTTGGAGCAAAGGTTTCTAAGAGAGATTGAGAAACATGGGCTATTACAAACTTGGGAAAATGGAACTATGCTGTTAATTCTAGCTGCACTAAGAAAACAGTGTCCCCACTGAAATAATTTTAGTGCAAACATGCCAGCCTGAAAGGAAGAAATCATTTCTACAGTTGGTGCTACACTCTTCCATTGTATGTTCAGTTTTATTTTTCTCCCTGTCCCTAGTGTGTACTGGGGGTAGAGAACAGATACAAAACTTCAGGTTTTGTCACAGACAACTTAAGGACATTGAATTCATAGTTACTTCATATTCTTTCTCAAAATTCAAATCACCCAACAAAAACTAGTGATTAAAAATGCAAAACAAAGAGAATCAAAACTTGCAATATTAAATGAGATTCTGTTTTAGAGGATGTATAAGTGTCACCCCAAATTGCACTTCCTTATGTTGTTCCGAAAATTTGAGCAGATTAAATTCTCAGTCGTCCTTCTGTATTTTCCCCTAGTTGTTCTTAGGCAGGGTAAATATTCATTCTTGCAAAACTACACAGATCCTTGCAAAACAGGACAAGTACCTGTCTCAGGAGAGCTGAGCATGTTACCCATATTGACTCCTTTCACCATGTGTAGCCATGGGCACACCATGAAGTACTTGCTACCATTCACCAGAACTCCTCTTTTCCCAGTAAAAGCCTTTATGCTGCTTTCAGAACTATTTGCCTACGATTTCCTCTCTTCACAGTTGAATTTTAAATAGATGATACAGACTTTTCTGTGATTGCTTTGCATTGCTTTGCATTTGGTGTTATCATGTACATCTTTTCCATATCAAGCAGTTTTCTGGTGTTCTGTAGAGTTTCACTGAATGGCTGCCCTGTATTTAATCAGTGAGTTACTTAAAATATTTAGTTTACTTTTTAATCTTAATGAACAATGTATAATGAAATCCTTTTATTAAATCTTTGTAGACTTGCTATTATACTGGTAAGATACATTATTATTATTTTTTTAATGTGGACTCATTTTTGAGAAAGAGAGAGAGGGAGAGGGAGAGAGAGTGAGCAGGGGAGGGAAAGAGAGAGAGAGGGACAGAAAATCCGAAGCCAGCTCTGTGCTGACAGTAGAGAGCCAGATACGGGGCTCAAACTCATGAACCGTGAGATCATGACCTGAGCCGAAGTTGGACTTTTAACCAACTGAGCCACCCCGCTCCCCCAGTAAGATATTTTTAGAAGTGGAATTCTTGGGTGAAGGGAATATGTGTCCCCCTGCCCCCTGAATTGCAGGCCTGTTTTCTGTTAATAGGTGTTTCAGATGGCAGTGTAACATACATACAGAAGAGTGCATAAATTATAATTCTAGAGCTCAGTGAGCTTCCCAGAGTGAACATACTTTCATGACCTACCTGGGTCAAGAATCAGCACATTACCAGAAATAGAAGCCACTTCCATCCTCTTCTTGCTGCCATCCTGAAGGGTAACTGCTTCCTAATTTCTAAGGCTATAGATTTATTTTGCCTGGTTTTGAACTTTATACAAACAGAATCATACCACATGTCTTCTTGTTTCTGGCTTCTTTTTCGTACATGTATTTAAAATATTAGATAGGGCAATGTAAACTTTTCATTCCTTACATATTCTTGTCCTCTCAGCATAATTTGACACCATTGACCATCCCTGTTTTGATATTTTTCTCCTTTCTGTTTGGTGACAGTCACCTCCTGGCTTTCCTCCTGCCTTTGCTACTCTCTTTCCCATTCCAGAACCTTCCCCTTCACTCAACCTTAAATTGTTGATGTCCTCAAGGCCCCTTCCTAGGCATGCTCAGCCAAATACATGGCTTCGGTTACCATCTATGTTCCTACTACTTGTAAATTTAAACTTCTGTTACAGACAATTTCCCTGAGACACAACTTGAACCTATCACTTAATAGGTTTCAAAACTCAACATCCCCAAACTGAACAAACAATCCCTTCTGCTCCCAGTTGCTTCACATCTGGTGCTGTTTCAGTATTTCTTCCCTCAGTGAAAAACACCACCAGCCTCGGGTTTCACAACATAGACACCTACCGTAGACACCGTAGACACCAAGGAGGCATTCTTGACATGTCTGTCTCAGTATATCCTGTGGCCATGAAATCCTGACACCTTTTCCTCCTAAATACCTGTGGTAATGGTTCGCTTCTCACCAACATCATTACCTGCATTCAAAGCCAAACTAAACTTGGATCACCTCTTGCCTAGACTATTGCAATACCCTCCTGATTGATTTACAAACAGATGAATAGTCTGCTTAAAACTCTTCAACACTTTGTATGTCATACTGAAGTTTCTTAAGTCAGCATTAAGGACCCAGTCCCTTCCTACTTCTTGAGTCTCTCTCTTCTTGCCGTTCTCTCCTTACTCCAGATATTTCTCCACACATTCCTTAAAAGAGCTAGAAACAGGGTTGAAAGTTGAACTATTATATCCAACATGGTTATCTGAAAAATAAAATTAAAAAAAATATATATAAACTTGCAGTGAAAATTGATGGAAAAAAATCTCTTTCAAAATACGGAGCCCATTTTGGGGCGGGGGTGGTGGTGGTGAAAAATTCAGAAAGCAATTAGATAAAAGAGTAATCGCCCCCAAAGAGTTTCAAGCTGTTTGGGGCCAATTAGCATAATGAGTAATAGTACAGGCTTCAGAATATCACAAAATCTGGATCTGATCATGATGTGGCCACTTAAAACCTACATAACATTTGCTGAGTCCTAACACCTCTGAGCCAGAATTCTCAAAATAAGATAATTCCTATCCTTCACAAAGATTAAGTTATATATATCTACATTTGGCACAACTATCAGTACACCGTTAAATTTTAAATAAACTGTAGGCAATTATTATTAAGAATAAAGTAAGGCTATAATATTATTGCCATATACCAGATAGGAATAACCCTTGTTTAATCAATGCTGAACATAATAAGCATCCCTGGGGCAGAACCTAGACCATATTCCCCCAAGGGCTTTATGGACTCTGATTCCTTGGTGCTCTTCCCTTGGGACCAAGAATACGTTTCCAGGTAACCAGTCACTCAGGATGGCTGAGTAAAAATAAGCATATATTTACTCCCAAGGAGTCTTGTTTTTTTATTAAAATGATTCTTTCAGTTTGTTTACTTCTCTCAGAATAAACACTTAAAATTGAATCTCCCTTTATCTTTGTAGTTGGGATTCTATGACCTCTGTTGGGCTAAGAAAATAATATTTTCTGTATGGCTAAATCAACTTTATACAGACTAGACAAATCCAACTATTGTGTTTCTGCCTGCTTTTATTGCAAATGGGAGAACACAGCTTGTGATGCTTACCTCTTCCTTTGCAGTCCTTGAAAGATTTATGTATATATATATATATATATATATATATATATATACACACACATTCATACATACACACATACACACACAAGTAATTGGAAACCAAATTAAAAAAAATAATGATAAAAGACTAATGAAAGTATTTATTTAAGCATTTAAATTTCCTTTACGAAAAAGATACATGATTTAGTGAAAAAAAAAATAGATTGAAATCAAAATAAGAGCATTCTGGTTTGACATCTAACACTGATTATATTATCTTGAAGATGTAATTTATTTTCCCCGATCCTTAAATTTTTCATATTCAATGCAAGTTTATCATCTTATCAAAATTCTATGAGTTTATACATATGCATATATAAATATGAAAGGAATGTATATATAGATGTATCTGTGAAAATGGTTATATGCGCATCTGCGTTCACACCCACAGACATCCTCTGTTTCTAGTATTTAAAATGCCCACATCTTCATTCCTCAATCCAAGACAACTGAGCAGTGGGAACTTTTTAGAAACGCAAATTCTCAGGCCCTACCCCAGAGGTACTGAATCAGGGGTTGTGGGGGAGACACTCCACCATCTGTGTCGCAACCTGCCTTCCAGGTGATTCTGAAGTGCACTAAAATGTGAGAACCACTGCATTCAAACATTCCCAGGGAAGAACCATAGGCTGGAGTTGTAAGCAGAAATGGAGAACCAGTAATTAAAGGGGGAAACGCAGGATATTCTACAGACAACTTGGGTGAGAAGTGGTAGGAATGGTTTAGGGAGACACAGCAGAGGCAGGCAAGGGGAGTGTTCTTTATGGTAGTAAGGAATTGGTATGGCTGTAAAAATACACTGCAGAAGCCGGAGGGGCAAGAATAAAGCTGTAGCCACATGCTCACATGTTAAATCACTGTTCTCATGCAGTCATTTCTGCAATTGTGCTAAGAATTGCTGGATTTAGAACCTTTTTCCTGCAGTGGATCCCAGAGGAAGATAATGATCCTGTTCTCAGCCATATCTATCTCTGACCCCTAGTTATTTACTGTAGAAACCTGAGACAGGAAGACTTAAGGCTTCTCAGGCTGATCCTGTGTATCTTTTCCAGAATCTTTTCAATAACCCAAGATTCTTCTGATTCCAGGTTGAATTTCCCCCTCATTGGCAGCTTGGGAATATCTGTGTTCAGGGAAAGGAAGAAAATTCCTGGAGTTTCAATGGGCTACAGGTAAATTTGACCAGAGAAAGTTGCAGGGGTGAGAATAAGCCTATGAAAACGACAAGGCAAGAACTCAGCATGGACACTCTTCAGGAGGCTTATGGATGCCACGTTGTCATCCAGGACATTACCCTGAGAGGGGAACCCCTGGCTTTGTAACTTCCTGGCCAGTGTGAGGGCCACCAGCTTGCAATAACCTTTTCTGCGATGCTCTGGCAAGGTATAGCCATGGCACATGGTGGCAAACTGATCTGTGAGAGACCAAGAGACTGGGTTTCCCTTGTCATCGCGGACACATACACTGGGGAAGCAAGAGATGAGGTTCACGATGTACCGGAGACACTGTTCATTGCCACCCCGCGACCAAGTCCTGTTGAGAAGATCAGCGTCAGCAACACTCAGGTAAGTCAGTTGTGGGGAAGAACCCATTCTAGAAGAAAACAACATGAGAAGGAACGTGAACTTGGGATCATATGAATACAAACAGCTGCTTCACTTTCTCCACTGATTCAAACTGAGAAACCATTCCAGAGATTGTGCTTAACAAATACCAAAATATTTTCAATGAATTAGAATCTGTCACTTCCCACTTATGAACATCATTTAGGGTTTCATTTCTGATAGGGCAAAATACTCATATCAAATTTAAGTCTTTCCTTTCAAATTTATGCCTATTTCTTATTGTCTTCAGTGTAGATTAGGGCAAGTATTTCATTTTTCTGTAAAACAATTCTGACTTGTTCTTAATTTTTCTTTAATGTTTATTTATTTATTTTGAGAAAAAGACAGATAGATTGAGAGTAGGGGACAGGCGGAGAGAGAGAGGGAAACACAGAATCAGAATCAGGCTCCAGGCCCTGAGCTATCAGCATAGAGCTTGACATGGGACTTGAACCCAGGAACCGTAAGATCATGACCTGAGCTAAAGTTGGATGCCTGACCAACTGAGCCACCCAGGCACCCCAGCCAACTTGTTCTTATAAAGTCTTAAGTCTGTTGACACCCTTCTGAAACCTGAACAACTCCAGATTCTTGGGCCCCTAATCTTTTCCTTGGTTAAAAAAATAAAGTAGTAGTATAAAACTTACATCTTTCTGCATCCATAGCCAGAAGAGAAATACAAATTGCTGAACATTCTAGGAATATATAGATGCTCAAGAAATGCTAGTTTTTCTTACCTTCCCCTGAAAGGTCTAGAAAAATGTCTAAAAGTTCATGGTATTGAGATAAAAAGATAGGAATTGGTACAATTACTAAGGACTGAGATGGGATTACTTAGTTAAGCCTACGGGGCTGGTTTTGCCTCAGAATTTGTTTTCATTCTTGAAGTTATCAATGTCATAAGACCATCCTATATGTTAAGAGACTGCTAATGCCATTCTTGATATGATCTTTATAAAGTACAAGTTTGTGTTTTCTTTTCATTAGTGGCTCTGCAGCGTTAGCTCACATTTTAGGCATACTACGGGCTCTGGAACTGGGCCAACTGTCTAACCACTAAGCTTGGGTAAAAAATAAATAAATACAAGCAATAACTGGCTTAATAGAATTCTTTTTTTTTTTTTTTTTAATTTTTTTTTTTCAACGTTTATTTTTTGGGACAGAGAGAGACAGAGCATATGAACGGGGGGGGGGAGGGCAGAGAGGGGAGACACAGAATCGGAAACAGGCTCAGGCTCCTGAGCCATCAGCCCAGAGCCTGACGCCGGGAACTCGAACTCACAGAACGCGAGATCGTGACCTGGCTGAAGTCGGACGCTTAACCGACTGCGCCACCCAGGCGCCCCTATAGAATTCTTAATTTAATTTTTGAAGATGAACTTTATTTTTTTTTAAGTTTATTTATTTTGTGAGAGAGAGCAAGGGAGGGGCAGAGAGAAAAAAAAAAAAAAATCCCAAGCAGGCACCACACTGTTAGCACAGAGCCTGAACTCAGGGCTCAATCCCATGAATCGTGAGATCATGACCTGAGCCGAAATCAAGAGTCGGTAGCTTAACCAACTGAGTCAGCCAGATGCCCGGAAAAACAAAGGCTCAGAAGCCTAAGGCAGAGATGTCACTGTAAATAAAAACATTGCTAAGACAAGTGTTTTTGGAATAGTTGTCTTAGTAGTTACATATATGACCTTGTATCTGAAGAGCAGGGTATCCAAATTAAGAGTATATGAGTTTGATAATGACTTAGGCGCTAAAGACAGTATCTTCCTAATGCGGAAGGGAGAAATTGATTTAAATTTAAATTAAATTAAATTTAATTTAATTTAATTTTAGAGAGAGCGAGCATGAGCCCGTGAGCATCTGTGCACAAACACCAGGTGAAGGTGGGGAGGGAAGGGTGGAGGGAGACAGAGAGAGAGAATCTTAAGCAGGCTTCATGCCCAGCATAGCACAGAGCCAGATGTGGGGTTTGATCTTACAACTGTGAGATCATAACCTTAGCTAAAATCAAGAGTTGGACACTTAACCGACTGGGCCACCCAACTGCCTCAGAAGGGAAGCGATTTAAATCAAAATCCGATTTTAAAAGGCCTGACCGGGGATGGAGAAAATTTTTAAATAACATTTCAGGGATATGACAGTAAACAGACTGGGAAACTCTAAAACTCTAAAGGAAAAATAGCCTCGTTTCTTCAGTAAAAAGTAATGTAAGAAATAAAAAAGATGAACGGGGAACCCATATATCAAAAAAAACCAAAACAACTAAAGAGAGGTTAATCAATTGCAATATATGAGCTTTATTTAGGTGCTTATTCAAAACAAACTGCTAAAAGTATTATGATAGTTTGGGAAATGTAACTACTGACTGGTTTAAGGAAATACTGACAAAATTTTAAGATATTGTAGAGCAAAGGGCTGGTGCAGCAGACCTAAGGACTCTATCTTTAGAAAAGCCTGCTTTTGGGGCGCCTGGGTGGCTCAGTCAGCTGAGGGTCTGACTCTTCATTTCGGTTCAGGTCATGATCTCATGGTTTGTGAGATTGAGCCCCATGTTGGGTTCAAGACTGACAGTGCAGAGCCTGCTGGGGATTCTCTCTCTCTCTCTCTCTGTCCCTGTCCCGCTCATGTTCTCTCAGTCTCTCTCTCAAAATTAATAAATAAACATTAAAAAAAAAAAAAAAAAAGGAAGAAAAAGAAAAGCCTGCTTGCCAGGTTGGCCCTTGGCTGGTATCTGGCAATTTGGATTTCTGCCGGTGTCCTGCCATTCCCAGACCTGATAGGAGTTGAAACTCACTGTGCCTGTTTGTAACAGTCAATGTGATTTATGATGAAAACCTGCCTTCCTTCTGGAAGTCTAAAAAACTGGTATGTGCTAGACAGAGGGTGCCTCCAATAAAAATCCTGTATATGTTGTGACAACTTATTGCTGGGGAAATCAAGTGTGTTTTGTGTGACTCCATTGGGGAGGATTCTGGAAAGCTTGTCCCTGGTTTCCTTTGGACTTTGCCAATGCACCTTTTTCTTTGTTGATTTTGCTTTGGAGTGTATGTATGCTGAGTCCTATGGGTCCTCCTAGCCAATTAGTGAGCCTGTGGGTGGTCCTGGGGACCCCTGACACAGAAGTGATATTAGTATAGTGTGTGTGTGTGTGTGTGTGTGTGTGTGTGTGTGTGTGTGTGTATGTGTGTTTTAAATAATCCTTATCTTTTGGAGACATATATTAAAATACTTAAGAATTAATGGGCAAATCTCTGAGATATTTCCTTCAGAATAATTAGCAGATGGGGTATGGATGAAACAAGATTAGCCAGGTATTGATGGGAGGTTCGTTATAGTAGTCTCTCAGCCTTTGTATGTGCTTGGAAATGTTCATAACTGAAAAAAGTAAAATAAAAGTAAAGTCCAGTTGCTTTATGTGATTTAAAGTGCTCATTCTTCTTTAGGTTTTGTCTTGTTTTGCTCAAAAATTCCTTCAATATACTCCATAGAAGAAAAAGTAACATTCACTGAGGTGGATACTTTTTCAAGATACCATGTTTCATTTCTTTACATAGTACATGTAAGGAAGATATTATAGGTTAATTTTCAAAAAGAAGAAATTGATTAAGGCTCAGAAAGATGAAGCAGAAAGGAAAGTAACTAGCAAATGGCACAAGGGCTTCCCAGTGAGAAAGACAGAATATAGATACAAAGTAACAAATCTTTTGAAGACTGGATTCTGGAGACAGAATCAGGAATTATTTCCTGGCTCTGCAATTTACTCCTGTGTGTTACTTAAACTCTGTTCAAAAAGGGAATTCCACAGTTAAAGGAATCTAGACATAATATACATAAAACATTTAGTGCCTGGCATATAAGAGCTCCACACAAGTCAGTTATTTACCCTCATCCTTGAAACATGAAAAAAAAACAAAAAACAACAATAAGTACTTTGGGCTCAGACAACAGAAGCTAGTTAGAATTATCTGCAGGAGGAGCATACAGGAATAATTTTTCTGGGTGTACTGTGAAAATACAGGACTCCTGAGTCTGTTTATCACTAGGCACAAAGACTCCGGTTTGATTTTGCAAAAAATTATGAGCAGTAAAGCACAGCAGAAACAATTAAACACACACAGATCCACAGGTGCATACACACAGAGACAAATCTAGACCCCGTGGCTCTAATCCAAGGTACCCAAATGTTCCTTAAAAATACCATGTATTCTAGGTACTGGTACTACTATTTGTACTCCTATATAGTAAGTCCCATCCCACATGTAGAAACTTAGTTTACATACAGGGAACTGGTGTTCGGCAGAGTTGAAAGAGGAGAAAAATGAACGGCCTTGAAGGAGGTTAGCTTTACATCTAACTGCTTTGACTTGGCAACAGCTTTGGAAACATCATATAATTCACTCTGCAGCCCTGTACATGGTAAGAAATAATGAAAAATGTGGGTATTTTATTTGAAAACACAAAAAAGGAAATTTGTTGCAGTATTTTTATACTAATTATCATCAACACCACCAGTTTGCCACCTTGCATTATCCTAACCACTATATACTTACATATGAATTATTACAGTTACTCCTTGCCTGATTTTCAAACATTGTGTGGGATTTTCAAATCCCCATCATATTGTTCATCACAATCATGGTCTCCCATTAATATTTCTGATGAGAATATCCCTTAGGAATTTGGAATTGCTTGTGGGATTTTCTTGATTTTTCTGACTTTCCAGACTGATCTTACACTCTTTAAGGTAAGAGAACTTTTATAACTATGAAATTCTACAATCTAATATACAGCTAGAAGTATAAAAGAGCTCAAATTGATTTGGCATGACATTCTGACTTAAAGACTCTTCCAGCCTCTTGTCCTAGATTCCTGTTACAGAAATATCAAGGTATAGGGGTGCCTGGATAGTTCAGTCAGTTGAGTGTCTGACTTTTGATTTCAACTCAGGTCATGATCTCACAGTTGGGGAGAGGGAGCCACGTGTTGGGCTTTGCACTGACAGTGTGGAGCCTGCTTGGGATTCCCTCCCTCCCTTTCTCTCTGCTCCTCCCCCACTCATGCTAGCTCTCTTTCTCTCTCTCTCAAAATAAATAAATAAACTTAAAAAAATATATCCTCAATAACAAATCCCTTCCCCCAAAAGGAGTATCAAGGTATAAACTATATTCCTAAGGTATAAACGTAGGAGTATCAAGGTATAAACTTACTTGTATCCTACACATTTATCACAGCTATACTATATTATCTATAAATCTTTATTCAGTACTTGTCATATGTAAAGCCCTATGCTGGGCACTGTGTCACAGTGAGACAAGAATGGTACTGTCTCTGTTCATCAATGATGAAGCTCATTGCATGGAATGTTAGCTTCTATTTACTGAGAACTGACTTGCTCTCCTTTTCCAAAATCCTATTGGCTCTCTCCTTTCCAGTCTGGGTCTGGATAAAGATACTGATGACTTCTCATAAGCTATTCAATATTCTAAAGAGAGGGGCACCTGGGTGGCTCAGTTGGTTAAGTGTCTGACTTCAGCTCAGGTCATGATCTCACAGTTGATTCAAGCCCCGCGTTGGGCTCTGTGCTGACAGCTCAGAACCTGGAGCCTGCTTCAGATTCTGTGTCTCCCTCTGTCTCTGCCCATCCCCTGCTCATGCTCTATCTCTCTCAAAAATAAATAAACATTAAAAAAATCAATATTCTAAAGAGATTATAGCTCTTACCATAGAAACCTACAGCCAAGAGGCCACATCAGAAGCTAAAGGTGATGCCTGCACTGATTACATACTAAATGAGGGGCTTTTACCACTCCAGTTATTTTAGGTACTATTAACTTACATCTGTCCCCATCAAACTTCAGGAAAGATGGTTGTGTCAATTTAAATGACCATAACTGACCCATAATTAACAGCTCAGCCTTCTGGAAAAAAATACTGGCAAAAAAAAAAAAAAAAACCACACACAAAAAAAACCATACATCCTTCTGGATGTTCTCTTCCTAATTACTGCCATGATTTTTCACACCAAGGAAGAGATACTCATTTTCACATTAAAGTAATAATGATGAGAAAATTTTCCTAGGTTGGCTAAGTGAGTGGTAGAACCATGTCTCACTTCTAACCAGCATAATTGGGGTAAGTCTGTAAAGCTGGGAGACAGTTTAGAACTTCCACTATAAGGTCATTTTGAGCATTTCCAAATGGATTTCACAAAACACTCCAAGTCTTTAGGTTATGAATATGCATTAGTCATTGCTTGTAGGTTGAAGGGAGTAGTCAAGATGGCAGAGTAGTAGGGAGGCCCTGGGCTTGCCTTGTCCCTCAAACACAGCTAGATCAACATCAAACCATTGTGGACACCTAGGAAGTCATTGTTTGCAGGTAGATAGAAACTTTTCCTGTGAGAGGGCTTCAGCTATTTGTTGATGAAAAAAAATTACCAGACTTTAAATTTCTAACATGGGGGACCCTGCCTTCCTGTCACATGATCAAGAAACTCATTTTCAATGGAATAGTTATAAATAGTAACTTTGTTGACTGTATCACCCACCAGTCAGTATGTAAAGTTGAAAAAATGATATACTGAAGCTGAAACTGTCCATCTACACTATTAGAAACTCTTTTTTAAAAATGTTTATTTATTTTTTAGAGAGAGAGTGAGCAGGGAAGGGACAGAGAGAGAATCCCAAGCAGGCTCCATGCTGTTAGCACAGAACCCGACACGGGGCCTGAACTCATGAACGTTGAGGTGACGCCCTCAGCCAAAACCAAGATTTGGGTGCTTACCTGACTGAGCCACCCAGGTGCCCCATCACACTGTTGGAAACTCTGAATGTATTTTTGTCTTGGCTAAAAGTTCTTCCACTAGCATTGATAACCATGCAGTTGTCTCCTCAGAGCTCAAATATACTCTTATTTTAATCATGTCAGGATAACCTATGCAGATCAGTTAACTATCTCTTTCTAGAATCATTTGCTTCAGAAAGAAGAGAAGACCTACCTATTGGCTTATACTTAAGTTAGAGTCATTTTAAAAGATTGTGACAGGAAATGATTAAGGGTAATAAATAAAAATATGCTGATATTCATTGATATCCATATTACAGTAACATTGAGGGAAAAAAAAGTCACCTAAAAGCAGCCTCATTTAAATGCCCTCCACATACCCCAATGCCAAGCCTCATTAGGAGTAAAACATGAGTTTTTTTTTTTTTTTTTTTTTACAAAACTGTAGTACATAAATTGTAACTATATAAAATGTATATGTGTATATATATATGAATTTGTGTACTTAATATAGGTCATATCTATCTAACATACATGACAAAAATGAGAACAAAAAAGACTGCTTAGACTCACACCTATCTCACCTTGTATTTGAAAAACTTGATCCCAGTTGATAACATCATGTTCTTCCAACAGCCGTCGGTAAGCCCTGATATCCTTGTAGAACACAGCATAGGCATTAGTATAATGGTCCAGGTTATCCATCTCAGCCTAGGATGGAAGACATAATCATAAATACATAAATATATCCTCTAGGTAACCCAAATCCTAGATAGATTAGATACCATTAGCTGCATATGTCTAGATAATTCACATTACCAGAGTTAGCCATCTATAAACAATGGCTAGATGGGAATGTGGCTAATATACTGTAGAAAGGGAAGAAACAGAAATTTTGGAACTTATGCTTGATAATTCTTCTGGTATTTGGGAAGTGTTAAGATATTTCACATTTTTCTGGGATATTATTTATTTACAAAAATGAAATGCATATAATTTAATGGAGCCGTCTACAAGAATCAAATGGAACTCTCAGAACTTTCCTAGTGTGGTCAGAGCAGCACACCTTTGATCACGTGAGCTTCTCTTTGGCCTTGAGGCAGAACAGGGCAGATGTCATCCTTTTCAACCTTCTTAGATATTTATCCACATGACCCAGAGTCATCGGTCACAAGGAATCATCTAACCAGTGGAAAAACTAGTATGCACAAGTATGTATGCTTCATGCTTCTAGAGATTATGAAACACTAAAGAAGCACTTAACACATTTAGAGTAGTGGTTTTCTATGTCTGATACTCCAAAGCCAGTAAAATTAGAAACTAATGGTGACATGTGTAGCGTGTTAAGCTAACATACATGGCTATGATAGTTATAATATCTCCTTTACCTAATCTTTTCTTTCCAGTTGATGTCAACTCGTATATATTTTGGCGTTTCAAACCTGTACCTCTTTCTGTCGCCGGGTGATAACAGCTTTGAAGTCTGGCCATGAATCCACTACCACTTCCTTTTGAAAGGGATTCCCACGATTTATGTTCATGACAGCTCCGTAAACCTGAGCCAGAGAACCCAGAGAGACAAGCCAATCACATTACTAACTATTCCAGTTACATGTTACAATTTTCACTCTTCTGCTGTATAACTGAGGCCATGAGAAGGGAAATTATAAACGTACACACACATATATATACAACACGCACACATACAAATTTTTCTCTTGTTATTTCATCACTGTACATGAAAACTGATAGTCTGTGAAAGCCTATGAAAACACTCCCCAAAGTTAGGTTTTTACCATACAGCAGTGAGAAGTACCAAAACAATGGGGAGTCGATGGGTGCTTGGCACATAGGCCATAATAAATACTTACAGAATGCATCAGAATCTGATGTATGGATTTAGGGATTATATATCTTTTAAAAGTTCCACAGATAATTTTGATTCTCAGGTACTTTTGCTGCTTATTATACTCTCTGAAAATAACCTGTTAAATGCAATGACTCCTTTAACCCTGATTTACAATTAAACATCACTGAGGGTAACCCCCTCTCCGAATAAAAGACCCCTGCATTTCAGATTTGATGGAGCAAGGCTCTATAAGCATTCCCGGAGGGTCATAACTATGTCTCATTCATTATTATATCCATGGAGTCTGATACAATGGATCAATTACTTGTTGACTAAACAGTACTGAATATTCGAATTCCCTTCTGCAGCCTTTCATATTTAGTCTCCACTAAGAATCAAAGATGCCTGCCCTACAAAACAACTTCCATATGTTATGTGTGTTTACAGAGAAGAGAAAGTTGTGGAGACTGAGGAGAGTGAGCTATAGGCTAGTGCTCCTAGCAGCATCTTCATAACAGATAAAAACTGGAAATAATTGGAGTGTCCACCAACAGTGGAAAAAATGAATAAATGTTGGCACATTTATACTTTGGATTACAAAAAAAGAAACTTAATGTTGAGCAAAAGAAGGTAGACACCAAAAGATACTTACTTGGATCCGATTTACATTATATTCAAAAACAGACAAAACCAAATTATGGCTTAAGAAGTCAAGATAGCAGTTACTCTTGGGGAACAGGGAAAGGCAGTGTTTGGAAAAGAGCTTTGCAGGGTAAGGAGAAGTCGTGCCTGAAGTAATTTTCTTTCTTGACTGGAGTGCAGGTTATATAGATATTTGTTCTATGGAAATTCATTGAGCTACATAATTATGTACACTTTCTAGTATGTGTTATACTTCAGTGAAAACCAATTTAAATTCTAAGGGCATTGGAACCTACATTTTACCTCTTTCATCACATCTTTATTCAAATCACTCACCTCAATGACAACAACATTATTCAACTGTCTTCTGTCTTACCCAGCCTGGGACCTCACTCAAGTCTTCTCATAGACCATCTCTTTCCAAATTTAGTCTGGCTAATACTAATGTGCAACATGGATCACAGTGAAAATCTGAGAAGTAAAGCCACCTGGAAGGGTCATGCTTGTTTCATTAATCATTAAATTCTGGGGCTGCTGATCCTACATATATATAGGCATAAGCTTATTAAAATGTCTATTCCCATGAAGAAACCATACATCTTTATTCAAAAATGGAACTTAGATGTGCTTGGAATGCTTAGAAGAATAGAAGGGAAAAAACCTTTCCAATATTCAGATTGTGAAAGAAAAAAGGCAACCAACATGACTTGTTTGTAAGAGATATGCAACCAACTGCAAGATTTCGCATTGGTTGAAAACTAAGAAACAAACTCTTCTAACAGCTGTTTATTTAAAGGGTGAGTGTTGAGAGGAGAGGGAAGTAGCTAGGGGAAGTAAGGATGCTGGAAGAATGAACAGTTGGAGTTTGTGGAGAAAATTTGGAGGAATATTTAATCACTGAAATACTATGATGAAGTAGGTGGGGGGATGGGTAAAATAGGTGATGGCACCAGGCCAATAAGGACGCCATTTGTGATGAGCACCGGGTTTTGTATGGAAGTGTGGAATCACTAAATTGTACACCTGAAACTAATATTACACGGTATATTCACTAACTGGAATGTAAACAAAAGCTTAACAAAAAGAAAAAACATGAGATTATAGAATACAGAGCCATGGCCTCCAAAAAATGGAGGAAGTGTGTACAATAAGACTATTTTTTATCTTTTTTATTCTCTAAAGGCCACAGTGTAACTGAAGGGGTATTTTGAAAGTATGGTCACAGAACCCAAGTCAGGCATTACACAACAATGAAATAATTGAAGTAAGATAAAGAGTGTCAAAGAAAAAGAGACTTTAGTGTATAGAAAACGAGTAATTGAGAGTGCCAAGCTAAGCAGCTATGAAAGAGAAGATTATACAAGGAAGACGTTGATTTGTGCCTACATGCTTCATTTCTTTAAGTCTTACTTCAAATGGTGTTATGAGAGGCAAACATTAAAAACAAACAAACAAACACCACACAGTTTAGAATCTGATAACTTGGATTTAAATCTGAACTCTAGCACTTAGATATAGGGAAGGCATTTAGTAACATCATCTGTAAAATCATAATGTAAACACCTGCCTATTCAGAGTATTAATATTCTAGAGGGATTAATAAGTTTTTATAAAGCTCAAATGAGATAGTGTGAAAGATATTTTGAAAATGATTATATACCATTCAGACCAACTCAACTAATCCAAATTCAGATGTCTTTAAAAGATAAGATTTGAAAAGGTGGGGATTAAGAAGCAATTATTTTATAATGCTGCCAGTGACCAACCAACAAAAGTTTATTGAGTAACTATTTTGGGCAGAGCCCCATGGCAAGCACTGTATGAACAAGGAGTCCAAAAAAAAAAAAAAAAAAAAAAAAAAAAAAAAAAGACAATATCTGCACTTGGGCATCTGGTAGCTAAGTCGCTGTGGGAGAAGCAGTAGATATGAAATCAAAGGAACTAAGAACCGAGATTTAACTTGATTCTTTACTTGCTTTAACCTTTTTTGGACTCCAACTTAATTCATTTTTAAAATGGATTAATAGACATCTTACAAAGCTGGTGGAAGGATAAAATAAATTGAAACTATCTGTATGCTAAAGTACTGTCCAAATATAATATTTATAATGTAGGGGCCCATTATTTGTCTTGATGATCATAACATCTTAGATGACCCTGTGAAGGTCACCAAAACCTTTTTAGTTCTCTCCGATGAAAGAGTTGGCCAAACATTTACTCACTTTTGTGTCTGCATTCAGAATGGGAAATTTTGAGTCAGATTGTCCATTTGGTACTCTTTTAGTCATAAGATTTCAAATTATCCCTCAGATTTTCTCTACCATGCACAGTTTAAGCATGATTGGTAGGGCAAGATGACTAAATTTAATCAACCCAGTACGGTGCTCCAGATCACTTTTGTTAAAAGTCTAGTGTAAATAAGGATTATCCAGCATGTGTGCTAAAAATACAGCTCCCTAGTCTCCATCCTTAGAAATCCTGATTCATTATATCTCTTCTGGGTTATTAGCATGCCACTCATATTTGCAGTGAAATGCTCTACCACTGAGCTATAACCCCCACCACTCACATTTGAAAACCACTATTGTAGGGCTATCTCCTTGGTCAAGAAACTCAGCCCTCACAGACGATTTCTTTGCATTCTGCATTTTTTTTCTCCAAGTGCTTAAAATATTTTTAATCTCACATTTATTTGTAATCTTTGATTAATGTCATCTTCCACAGTAGCTCTGAGTTATCAGCAGGCCCTCATGGACTTTGAGAAGACTTCAATAGATAGAGGCTTAATGACCAATAAAGTCACTGAAAAGAAACTTCACAAATAAAGATCTTGAAGTAATCGGAAAAACTTTATAATGACCCCTGAACCTCAGCTTCATCGTGAACCTAGATTATGTTCTTATGAGCAATACCACTTAATCCATACCCTTCTGCCATTAAAAAAAAAAGTTCAGTTCAAAACTCGAGTTTGCTTTAGAAATAATCTAGTCCAGTACCCCCTAAATTTTCCTAGACATCATCTAAAGTGGCTGTCAAGAATATAATTACCTGGGCCGTATCTACAATGCACGGGATCAGTCTCTGGCAGGAGGGGACTGGGAAACAGTATATTTAATAAGGGCTCTAAGAAAGTCTTGACATCAGAAAAATTTGGGAAACAGCTACAAGTCTGACATTATTTCACAGATAAATAAAGAAATAAAATCAAACTCTTAAATGTGTCATACCTTGAGTGACTCAGGAAAGTGACTCTTCAGCATTTTTTCCAGTATCAGTAATTTGGTAGAACAGTTTAGCACCGACATCTTCTCCAGGGCACTAGCAATTATTCCACACCTAATTAAAAACTTGAAAGTATAGTTTTAATTTTTGCTTATTAACATCTGAAGCTCCTGAGGAATATCCTTGAAATCCTCTTTTCACCGGGTGTAGTTCGGAATGCTGTGGCTCCCTTTGAAGAGGGAAGGAAACGATGGCAGTGGAATGGGTTCCCACTCAGGGAACACGTGGGAATAGAGAATGTTAATGACCTAATCCTGGAAAGAGGTGAGTATCTACAGTGGGTTAAGTCTTGCTATTATACACATTCTGTGTACACTCAACTCTTCCTTTAAGACACCATAGTAGTTATGATTTCACATTTGTTTGTGTTTTAATTAAGTCTGTCTCAAGTAGACTGTGAAGGAAGGCAGTGTGGGGGCACCTGGGTGGCTCAATTGGTTGAGAGTCCAACTTCGGCTCAGGTCATGGTCTCATGGGTCATGAGTTGGGAGCACAGAGCCTCCTCTGTCTCCCTCTCTCTCTCTTTCCCCCTTCCTAGCTTGCTCTGTCTCTATCAAAAATAAATACACATTAAAAAAAAAGGAAGGAAGGGTTCATGTCTGCTTTGTGCTCCATTGTACCCCCATCACCTACAGGGCCTGGCATATAGTAAAGGGCATTCTAGGTAGTTGCTGGAAGAATGATAGGAAGCTCAGAGTAAGAGTCTTAGGGTTAGGTAGGGAAACTTCTTTTTACAATGTGGGGCAAAGACCAGAGAAAGGCTTGAGTGGGTCAAGTGTCAGGTGGTTATGAGGAACAGCTTGCATAGAATCATCTAGATTGAAGATGAAGAATCACATGTGAGCAAAGGCTGAGGCTCATTTTATTATTATTACTTTTATTTAAAAATTTTTTTTAATGTTTATTTTTGAGAGAGGGAGAGAGAGTGACTGAGCAAGCACAAGTGGGGGAAGGGCAGAGAGAGAAGAAGACACAGAATCAGAAGCAGGCTCCAGGCTCTGAGCTGTCAGCACAGAGCCTGAGGCGGGGCTCGAACCCACCAACTGTGAGACCGTGACCTGAGCCGAACGAAGTCAGACACTTAATCGACTGAACCACCCAGGTGCCCCAGTGAGGCTCATTTTAGTGAGATAAAATTAAGGAATAAAAAAAGGGTCTTAATATAATGTATGTAATCCAACCATTCATATACAATTATATTTTCTAGATTTGGGGGCTCCATATCACCTGATTTTTGCATGCAAGAAAACTTTTTTTTCTCAACATCCCAATCAGGTCTTGACTGAATTAAAAAATATACATATTTTCTGTTTTTCTATATTCAGTGTAGTAGAGTTTATCCACTTACTCTTAGCAGTCAGGCACTGGGATGGCAAAGATAATTCAGCTAGACAGGAGAACCTGGTGCTTCTGGGTTGTGGTGGACTGTTCCTGCACAACACATTTCCAGATAGAGAAAGCTACTACTTGATTTCCTTATGTGGCAGCTCTGTGTGACTATAAGATACTCAGAGTTTGATTATGATTTACTTAAAGTCCACCATAAAACTCTACATATAGTTTATGTGAGTCTGAACTAGAATCATATTTCTTGTGATCAGGCCCCGTGGGCTCCAGTTGGCTGAGTGGCACACCTGAGGTATTTGTATTCTCTGTGGGAGTCAGAAGAGATACTGAGGGCCAGTACCAGAAAATCAGGCTTCTGGACCATAGTCTAGTATCATAGCCTGGGCCAATATTAGAAGCTTTGCAGAAATAGAGTTTCCAGAGCTCAGGTTGAGCAAAAGAAGAAGTTGAGCCATCCTCTCTTCACCCTTGTATCTGCTTGACTTTTCATTCACTCATGCTATCTCTGAGCAAAAATTTTAACTTAATAGATCCTCAAGTTAAATATATCACTTTACTGTAATGCAATATTTTTTGAGAAAAGGTGAAATAACATATTTCATAGAGAAACTGATCATGTATCTCTCATTACATTTGATGTCTAGAGATGTTTTTGTGTCCTGATACATAGCAAAGTAGCTAGTGCAAAGAGTAGGAATTCCAAGTATTTGTTGATGATTTGCTGATTTATTGTCTGGTTTATTCCCCAAACCATCTAAAACCACTTACACACATAAGTAAAATACATGAAGAAAAATTAACTTTAAATGAACATTCAGGCAAGGGGAAAATAGAGGTATAAAAGTAATATGGGGTCAAGAGTGAGGCCAGTAGGCAAAGCATATGGGGTACAGTTCTCCATATAGAGTTGATCCTCTTTATTTGTGGATTCCATATTTATGAGTTTACCTACTTGCTAAAATTTATCTGTAAACCCCAAAATCAATATTGACAGTGCTTTCAGAGTCATTTTTGGTTATGCCCAGAATAGTGAAAAATTTGAATTTCCAACGCCCACATTGTCAGCTGAAGTTGCAGAAACTGACTTTCTGTTCCAACTCTCATACTCTAAACATGTCCTTTATGTGATCTCTTTGTTCCACATTCTTTTGCAGGTTGTGCTTTTTGTTTTGGGAGTTCACTGTTTAAAATGGCCCCAAGCAGAGTACAGTAAGACCTTGGTTTGTGAGCATAATTCATTCTGGAGACATGATTGTAATCCAAAGCACTTGTATATCAAAGTGAATTTCCCCATAAGAAAGAATAGAAACTCAGATGATTCATTCCACAACCCCAAAATATTCATACAAAAATGATTACAATACTGTAATATAATACAAAACAATAAAGAAGATACAAAATATAAAGAAAAATAAATACATTAACATCCACTTACTTTGCAAACCTTTGTGGCTGGTGTGAAGGAGATAAGAGAGTGGAGGGTTATTGTGTACGACAACTTTCACTATCACTAACAGATGTTGACTACAATACAGTATTAATAAACTTGTCATATACTGTATTTAATGTAACTGGCAATAAGGCAGCAGAGGAAAGGGTCTATATCTGCAGGCAGCCTGACCTAGAATGAAGCAAAGAATTCATAAGCTTCTTATATGGAAAAGTAAAGGACTGTCCATAGGGGCTTTGAAGTAACAAAAAGTATACTAGTACCAGTTGGGGGCACCTTCCAATGTTCTGAAAAATCACTGATTTCTGCCAAACACCATGGCCAGAGACCGAGCATCCAAGCCATGGGAGACGATCACACAACCCCACAGTGAGAGAGAGAGAGAAGAACCATTGGCTCAGTGGTGATCATGTGACATTCAGGATCCTGTACTACTTGTGTTGCAAGACATCGCTTGTTTATCAAATTAAAATTTATTACAAATGTTTGCTTGTCTTGTGGAATGCTCACAGAACAAGTTACTCACAATCCAAGGTTCTACTGTATTTAGGTGCTGCCTGTGTTCCTAAGTGCAAAAAGACTGTGATGTGTCTTACCAAGAAAATACATGCTTTACATATGCTTTCTTCAGGCATGAATTCTAATGTTTTTGACTGTGAATTCAATGGTAATAAATCAACAATACATATTAATGTCTTTAAACAGAAATACATAAAAACCACGTTATGTGTTGATCTGCTGATGAAAATATTGTGACCAGAGGCTTTCAGGAACCTAATCTTTTATTTTCCCTGGAAGCGATGGTTCAGAACTCACTAAGACAGTGTTCCCTGTGTTTATTAAACATAGCTACCACACATAATGAGAATCAAGTGTACTCACAGTAGGTGATTTGTACTGTAAGCTTTCGAGCAGCTAACACAAGAGAAACAAATGTGAGTAGTTATGTGATTCAGTTTGTCCATAAAATTATCTATATGCTCTTTACCATAGCATTTGCTTGACTTTTCACTTGTAATATCTCAAAATGAATTTCTCTAAGTTCTACATTATCAAAACCCTCCTTGATCTGGCTTCAATATACCTTTCTAGGCTAAGAAACTCTTTCAATCCACAAATTTTGCAGGGTGACAAATACTGGTGATATTAAAATCAGAGAGACATTTCTCCTTTGGGTGCACACAGAGAGGGCACTATATTTGTTAATGAAGAAAGAGATTTTTTTAAAGCACTTGTGATCCAATGATAGTAATTATTTTTCAGATGATAGGTTTTCTGTTTAGAGATTCCTCTCGTATCTGTTTCTCTAGTAGTGCCCCTATCAGTGCAAGTAATTTAATATTTTGCAATGCTTGTTTTCCACATATCAAAATTTACAACAGTAAAACAAAAACAAAAACACCAAAAAACAAAAACATCTTTTCCTGTAAACTTGATTATGATTTATTCCTCCTATATAATGCTGAATTTCACCTTCCCCCTCTATTTCTCCCATTTCTTCTTTCAATTATAATTAATGATTTGGAAACTTATAATTTTAACGAACAGATGCTTACCTGCTATGGAGAGTTCAGTTTGCATCAGGGTAGTGGTTTCTTTTCCGTAATTGGTGAGTTTATTCTTCAAGCCTACTTCCCTAATTAGTCCTTAGTGGAAAAAGGAGGTAGTGGAAAAAAAGTGTCCACACCCGTAGAAGGGGAGGAGCTTATGGTGTCAGGTGAAAATCATCACACATACAGCATGAGTATTTTTACTCCGTCTCTTTTTTCTACCACATTTAGACTTACAGTAGAAACCAGTGGATACTTATCTTGATTTAGAGATGGACATTTTCTAGACACAAAATCTATCTGTTAAGATCCTGTGAAACAGAATAAAAAGGAATGGGACCCAGATGAAGGGGGTACAGTAAGTAAATGACAGAGAGGCACTGACCCCTTATATATTTTTATCCGTTTTGAAGAAAATGATTTTGCTTTCCTAAACTTCCAAGGCTGACAAAGGGGTAGTCTCTAAAAAGCATACTTGTGGAATTGAGAGTACTTTTGGAAATTTTGATACTTTTACCCTATTCTTTTAAATGAAAAGTCAGAGTTTACTCCCTTCTGTCAAATGGCTGCAATTTCAAGCGCCATATAAAACTTACACGAGCATGTCTTCCCACAGCACAATTCCTGAGCTTTGGGATAATAAATAGTACGAATGTCTCAGTGGTATATGAAGAAT